GTTATTAACTTAAGCATTAGTAGTGCGTCACTAAGAAAGTAAACAGTAAGCAAAAACTTGAAAAACAAAAATGTGAATTGAATCACACACTCAGGAGCGCACGTAAGAGTAGTTGTTGCCCATAAATTAGATTCAATTTGGGATGATTTCGAATAAAATTAGAAGCCTTATTTACTCGTATTTTCAATTTTTTTATATCGTTATATAATAATTTATTTAATTGGACTTAAATAAAAAACATTGGCTACTCTTTGAAAACTGACCGTGTATATCATATAAAAATTAATATTTGTTTGTTCGTATTTTGTGTAGCCATACCGTTCATCAGATTGTGATAAAACTTTGTCAAATTATTGTTTGCACTTGTTCAAAAGTTATAAGCATAGTACGATTAACTTACGGTAGATGGCGTGCGTATCGTAGCTTTCAAATATTTATTTGAAAGTTATAATATTATATCATTCAAATTCAGTGAATGTATTAATATTTCTAAAAAGGATTAAAGAACTAAAAAAAGATCAAGATAATCACTTGAACATGTTACCGCCCGGTTAAAAAAGTACGCAACTTTTCACTATATTTTGTGGTGCAATCTCACAAAAGTTAACATCGACTCTAAATAACTTTTAGTACATTTTTATTGAATTATCTCATTTCCTTGGCCCTTTTAAGTATTGTTATTAATGTTGAGTGGTCTCAAAAATGTAGATAGATAAAGTAATTAAAGCCAGAAAAAAATTAAGCTACTTGAAAAGAGTTGCAGCCAATAATTCGTAGCTAAGAGGCTAAATGTGCGTCATTTGACAGTCCAATTTACCTGGCAGCGCCATCAAGAGCCGGTTCCGTCAATAATAAGCCCGGAAGAAAGCAATGTAGAGAACCACCGGTTGATCGTTTTCTGGTAGGCAAAAGGCATTAATAAATCTCAAATCTTCGTATGTGGACCTTAAGAACAACATCGAAGAAGTAAGAAATGTGCAAAGTCTATGGGCGGTCAGAAGAAGACTTTTTGCTGCCAATAGAGGCAGTCACCGCTTAGTCTGCGGCCCTAAATTTCTCCGTGAGCACCGAATTGCCAGGCTATTTCACTCGAATTTTTCGGCATGGACTCAAGAAGACTGGGATACGGACTGGGAATGTTTTCAAATGAAGCCAGAATATCTCTGTACGGTGAAGAACGACTTCGGTGAACGCTACGAAGATGAGGAGAATGCTTTGCAGAGGCATTTTTTGAAGAAATCACATCACAACTAATTAGAATTTAATTAATTTTTTATTTAGATTTAATTTAATTAGAATTAGTCTTCATCGAACATCATTTGAGACGCTCTGAAACGACCAATAACATCACAACAGCAGCTGGCTCCGTAAACCATCACAGAGCTAAACAATGTGATAACCGCGGAGTGAGAGCATATTTCGCAAGTAACCATAAGAGATATACTCGCTATTATGCCCAGACGAATGCAAGCTGTTATTTCAAAGAGAAAGAACAGATCAAACTCCATATTAAACTTTTATCTGCTTTTACTTTATTAAAGAAAAATAAATAAAAAAATCGTGTTTCATATTTACTTAGGGAGCAGGTCTAGTACTTTGAACTTTAACATTATATATATATATATATATTCTTTTCTTACTACACCTATATATATATATATAGGTGTAGTAAGAAAAGAACATCTTAATTTCAATAGAGAAGATGACTAGGTGCTACCATCTGCTTGGGATCCTGTAAATAATAAAATTAAACTCCAACACAAGTATACAACTGCAGGACTTCAACATACTATAAGATCATAATACGTAGACTGAACCAAAAATTAAAATTTTAATCTGGAGGTAGAAGTGGTTAACTAAGGCATTGGGACGTTGAACATCTCAGTCCCCCATTTGACCATGGGTATTGTAAAGTGCTCGTAACGTCGGGAATATAAAATAAGTTAACATACAGGGCGACTGTAGGAAAGGCTAAAGATTTTATGTACTTATACAGAGCCAGTATATATTTATCTTTACAAATAAATAAGGACGCCATATTGACCTAGGCTTAAGGATCATTTAATAGGCGAAATTTTAAATAATATCATCATCATCATCATTACCTCTCTTCACAGGTCTACTGATAAATATAAGTCTTACCCAAATATTCTTACAAAATCGGTCCAGACTCACCTGCCTACAGCCTATCAAAAGTTCACTACTGAACATACATCTTCCCCATAGATTACCTCATAGGGGGATATATTTCCCATGGTTGCTACTCTTGGTTGGCGGTTTCGCAACTACAGTATTTTGCTATATTTTTAAGATGCTGCTGCCCATCTCCTGGTTTGTTTCCCTCTGTTACCTCCTATGACACACACGAGACGATATAGAGTAGTGGATATTATAGCAAATGCACAGGGACACGTAGTAATATATAGGTTAATAATTTAAATTATATAATGAGTAAGAGTAAAATGGTGAAAAGTGGAAAGTGTTCTGTCGGGGAGATAATAAATAAATAACGAGCTGACCAGTATCGTATCATAAAGCAAAATACTTAAACATTTTACCACCCATTCATCTTGTTTTTTCTACGTGGTAGAGCCATGCTGCAGCTATATTATGGTTGTAGCACGAATGGGTCGGCTCGAACGGGGAAGGACCACGCTCTCACAGAAAACCAGCGTAAAATAGCAGCTTAACGCTGCTGTGTTTCGTATGGTGAGTGTAGAGAGCCGGAGACCCTTTTTACTGGCAAAGAGGCATTCCATCTTAGTCCTCACGGGTGACAACGCATCTGCATCTTGAGTCTTTATTGAGGATAGATGTAGATGTCTATGGGTCACAGTAACCACTTACCATCAGGTGGACTGTGTGCTCGTTTGTCACTCGATCTTATAAAAAAAAATCACTTCTCATCCCTCATCTTTGTTGAACTGTTCGGTCACTGATTCCTTATATAATAGCTGGAGCGTGTTTTAAAGGCTTTCCTGACAGAGTTCCCTAAAAATAAAATATAAAAAGGAAGATCATTGAAAGAGACAAAGAAAATATTTTGCTACAATGGAAATATTTTTATTTTTAAGCCATTAATAACAATTTCATATTTATACATTTATTTACTTGACATAAAAATATATAATATTCATATTGTAATAAAAATTTATCCCAAAAATTAATATTATAATACATTCAGTTCCTACTCGCCGCAGTAAATTATTTAACCTTTGAGCTGGGCAGGAACTGTCTCTTGTCACCAGTAGCAATGACTAATCATGCAATTTTGGTAAAGCGATAGTTGTCAAATTTGACAAGAATACTTATTTAGTCTTGAAATTTTACCATCCAATGCTACATGCTTTAATAAGGCACTGAAATTGGTAAAACTTATTATCAAAATCAGTGCTCTATTCACCTAAAGTTCCAATCCGTCGTTTCATGAATAACTTTGAGACAAACGGACCAATGATAAATGAAGCAGTGCCTTTACGTCAAAGAAGCGCAAGATCGCTGGGAAATATTTTTGTCGTTCGAGACAGTGTACGAGAAAACTCCAGATGGTCCATTTCGCGTCGTACCCTAGAGCTAGGTCTTTCTGCAACATCAACTTGGCGGGTTTTGCTTCGAGACTTGGGTTTTCATCTGTTAAAAACCAACGACGACTGACAGCGCCATGTGTTCGCTGATTGGGCTTTAGAGCATTTGGCGGCAACCCTGCTTTCATCTTCAGTGATGAGGCTCATTTCTGGTTGAGTGGTTTTGTTAACAGACAAAATTTCCAGATTTGGAGCGATGAAAATCCACGGGAGATTCATCACGTGTCTTAACTTCTTATTTTCTTCTTACTACGAAAAAATCACTATTTAGCGTGAATATTTTAAAATTATATTCAGTACATAATGTCATGGAATTTCCTATAAAATAAAATAAAAATTGTAGCAATATGACTTATACAGGTTGTTTTATTTAATTTCAAAGTTCGAATACTCTTAATGAAAACCCCTGTATAATAAGATGAAATACTTAATTGAAATAAGTAAAATATACAGTTTACAATTGGCGAAGATATCTCGTAACAATAGTATATTTCATTACGAGTGCGGAAAGCCGAGAGAGAAAAAGAAAGGGAGTTGCGAAAAATGTCTACCCGAGCCGAGGCCCAGCCGAAGGTGAGGGTTGACAGTTGGAACAAGTTGCAATGACGGTTCCGCACGTGTACTGAACAACTATTTTTAATACAGTTGCGAAAAAATTAAGCAATTTAATAAAATAATAGAAACACAATAAACTCAACTAACTAATCATTTATTTCTTATAAAAGTTATAATTCACATATACATTGAAATTGGTACAGTTTTTTATACTAACTGGGGAAGTTTTAGGTTGCATATTTACTGTTTGAGACAAACGATTATTAATTTCGTATGTTTGTTCATGTATATTTGTCAAAGGTCTTATACAATGCCGTTTGCTAGTTGATGATGGAATTGGATTTGACGAATTATCATTATCAACGAAGGTAGATGGACGAACGTTCTCTTCAGTATTGTCATGTGAAGGAGGCGGACTGGACTTAAAATTAATGGATTGTGTGATTTTTTTCCTAGTTTCTAGTTTGTTGTTTAATGAATCAGTAAAATAGTCTTCTGCAACTTTGTCTGACTTCCAACCTCCTAGTCGCTTTAAGGACATTAAATTGGCTCCTGAATCTGCCAATAATGTAGCAGAGGTCCTCCTGAAGCTGTGCCCATTATAACACTCAGCATCCGGCAGACCAAGAAACGTAGCTATTTCTTTTGGCATATTACCAAATTTGTTTATCCCGATTGCTTGAGCTGTACTCTTCCCTTTTTGATAGTTTTGGAAAAATCTGTCGGTTTTTGCTTTTTGGGACCGCAGATTCATATACTTTTGCACTATTCTAAGTAAATCTCCTTCAACAACAAAGCTTCTCGGTATCTCATTTTTTGTTCGGAATGTTGATTAGTAGCATTTTTCCATGGGCTTCAATATCATAAAAAAGTAATATTGGCTAACTCCTCTCTGCAGCAAGCTCCAACAATGCCAAAAATCAGCGCAATCTACAAAAAAAGGAATTTGATTAATATTTTTTTAAATAATATATTGACTGAATTTTGCGATTTCGTAAACTGAATACTAAAAAAATATATGTATTTATTAATAAACTACCTTTGTGGCTAAATAACGATCATCGGGAGCTTCGTTCAAAAACCTTTCCACTTCATTCGATGTTAATATTTTCAACTTTTTAGTTGCAAAACCGTCTGATTGTCGTTTTAAGAAAGCATTTAGTTTTGAGTATTCACTTATATCCACGTTGTTCCTTATTTTCAGCATACTTTTTATCATCGAAAACCTCGACCATAACGTAGAAGGTTTTAATTTTGCTGAGAGTTCCGAGAAGTATGCCAACATAACATTTTCTGAAAAATTATTTGCTTTTTTCTCTTCTCTCCACGCAATAAATTCGTCATAAGTAAGATATGTAGCGACTTTTTAACTTTTCCGGTAAAATGTTCTCCGAAGCATTTTGTGCAATTATACTGAAACCCGGCGGTGTTAATTTAAATAAAATATCGTCAAAATTACTCATTTTGTGCAACAAACAACTAAACTCGTAAAGAACTTTTTTGTGAAATGGCGCCAACCGGAAAAGAATATAGCAGAGATTTTTTTGTTTTCTTCACCCATTCTGGGTAGGCAAAGGGAACTATGAAATAAAAATGAAATTTAACGAGATGAAATGAAATGAAACCTAACCTAACTCATTGAATCAAATCATTAAATCTGATATTAAAACAAATTAGTAGCTTCTTTTTAGAAATATTTGCATGAATCATAAAAACTTTTTTTAGTAAAAACTTCGCAGTGGGTGTTTTCTTTTTAATAGACATTATTTTGATAGTTGGGAAAGAGAACGCACGAGTTTGGGAAAGGTAAAGAAAAAGCTCGAGTATGTAAGCCCACATCCCGAACGCCGTACGTCCCTGCAATATGCCACCTTTTGAGCAACTGTATTAAAAAAGTATAAACCTTATTTTTTGAAGTGAAAAGATAGATAAATTCAGTCCCATTAAATTGTGGTAAGATGGAACAATAAAAAAAGAAAGAGTAGTTAAGTTTTTTATATAAAAGAGGGAGCAAATGAGCATGTGGCTCACCGGATGATGGATTTATTTGGATCATGCCAGACTCGGAAACACTGGACTAGATTAACTACTACAGTATGTACCAGCCAGTACAGTATGTAACTATCTTAACTATCTTTATCGTATCAATACTATCATGTAGGAAAATTCCAAAAGAACTCCGAAATTTCACTTTTTTACTTTTATCTTATATTTTTTTACTTTTTACTTATTGTTCGCGCAAAACTCTGTTGTCGGAATCGACATCAGATGTCACTCGGCTCGGCGCGATTCCGGTCTGAAGTTCTTCCGAGCGTGGCAGTGGCGCGCGGGTCGCAAGCGAGTCAGTCATCGGCCAGATGTGCTAATGTTTGCACGCTGTTAATTTTGTGCGGGAACCGCGGAATAGTTAGGGCGTCTAGTAAATATCCTGTCTAGGAATTATAACGCGCATTCCCTGTTTGGATAGCCTTTCCCGGGACTTATTGGGTCCGACTCAGAATCTGTATAAGTGCATTCGACAATATAAGCTAGTGCGGCCTCCGTATTTAGAACTATCTGTTGCCACGCGAACCGGTAGTGACCTTTGACCCAGAAACTCCGGGCGTGTTTTGTGCGGTAACCTTATACCCCGCGATAGTTAGTGGCTTCGGTAAGCTAGTTAATAGTACGATAGAGTTAAGTGACTGTCATCGTGGTGAACCAAGAAAGTGACTGTGGATAACCTCGAAAGGCCCCCTCAAGTTGGAGCGGTGTCGACGCTCGGGCTGCTGCCGACGGCTAAGGTCTAGGTTCAATCACCATCAGTCACACCCAGATACACACCACATCACCATTCTTTCCCTTGCACTACACAACCACATGCGACCTGACCGACTCCGGAGGGACCAGTCGCCTTGGATAGAGGTAAGTGAACTCCGCCAAATTCCTTCCGGTCGACTGTCCGTAGTATAACTCTCCCCCATATATTTTAGAGTAATTAGAGAGATTCCACGTGGCCACATTGAGCCCGACCTACGTCTGCTCGGGAGGACTTCAGCTCATGGGCCCCTGAGGATCTGATCCTTTAAGGGAGCAGCCGTAGGCCGTAACAAACTGGTAGCAGAGCGCGATTCCGGGTTCGATTCCCGGTCGATCCCGACTATAGTGTTTGATAAACATTAAACAATTTTGGTGGCAGGGAGCGTTGGTGTGATTGGTTTAATTTGTATCTACAATCACGCCCGTCCGTAATACGTAAAAATATTTTTTGTACGTAATAATAGAATTATTTCCCTAAGTTGTTTGTTGCTTGCCTTTTTTTGGTTAGTAGGTAGATTTGAAAAGCCGCGCCCTAGGTTGCGCAAGCGGGAGTTTTCTACAGATATACGTCATGTAGGTAGATGGTTATTTTTACGTAATCGGTTAATTATCGTTGTCGGATAGTTGTAGTGGATTACTTATCGAAGGTTCGATTTCCGAGCTAGGCATTTTTGTTGATCGACCGTGATGTGTATCTTCGTTTATACTGTAATTTGTATTTGAACTAAAGAGTAGTAATTGTATTTGCGTACTTTGAATTTAACTTGATTTTATCGCACTAGTATTTGTTATTTATTAATTTGATTGTGTCTTTTCTTTTGAGCTAACTTGTATTTGGTTGATACGTAGTAATTCGTATTTGTGTAATTTCTATTCAACGCGATTTGATAGGAACTGCATTTATTAACTGTTAAATTTTGTTGTATTTTTTGTTTGTTATCTTTGTAATCTGTGCTCAAGCCGCGTCGTAATTTGTATTTAATAGTGATGACATCGCCCAAGCTACTGATGCGTTGTTTGCGGACTGAGCTACGCTGGGCCACAAGCGCCCATGCTTTGATAGGTCGACCGGATAGGGTCCATAACTTGATGAAGCGGTTCGAGCAGGTGGATGCTCGAAGGGCCGCAGTGGAGGAGGCTTACGCTGAGCTCGAGGATTCGGATGTGGAGAAGGGAGTCCTGGACTCCTGCTTCGCGGACTATGAGCAGTTCTTGTGGCTCACGGACGAGTTGATCGAGGCTGAAGGCAGATATGCCGAGGAGGCGCGTGAAGCTCGGATGAGTGACCTGTCCGAGTCCTCTCTGAAGCAGCTTCAGCCGGAGCTGTTGGGACGACTCCCAATTCTGGACCTGCCAAAGTTCTCCGGGGTCCTTTCCGAATGGCTGACCTTCGTTGGTCTTTTCGACAGCCTAGTGGACGCCCGGAGTGACCTGACCCCGAGCCAAAAGATGGCGTACCTCCTGGCCTCACTGGAGGGGGAGGCCCTGGGCGTCGTCGGCCACTTGAGATTGTCGGACGACGCCTACCAGACTGCTCGGGACCTCCTAGCCAGAAGATACGCCAACGTCCGGCGGATTGCGGACGAACAGGTTAAGCGGCTTCTGAGCCTCCCGCTGCTTGGTGACCGAGCCAGAGCGTCCGGACCTGTTGGATCCGGTCTTAGTGGCCTGTGATACGTTAAGGCGGCTGGATTTACCAGTGGGCGAATGGGCCTTCTTGTTGCTCCGCATCGTGCTGTCCCGTCTACCTCTCGACCTTCGAATCCATTTTAAGGAGAGGTACGGCGGGGACGAGGCCTCCTATATTCCGCCCTTCTATGACCTGCTGCGGTTTTTGGAGGAGCAGTGCCGGCAGATCGAGAACGCGGCGGGCACCGTTGACGACTTACGAGACGTGCCCAGTGAGAGGCTGAACCCGCCAGGCAAGTCGTCGTCAACCCCCCCCTGCTCCTATTGTCGAGCATCTGATCACCGGGTAACGTCGTGCCCGAAATTATTAGGTAAGCCGGTTCCAGCGAGGCAAACTATCGCCAAGGAGCGCCGCTGGTGCTGGTCATATCTGGGAGGGCACCTCCAGCGAGACTGTCCGCATCGACGGCCCTGTCTGCATTGCCAGGGCAATCATCATGCCGTTTTGTGCCTGAGTGCGAACGGCGTCTCCTCTCGGGGCTCTGCCAGGCCCTCGACCCCCACGGGCGGGGGCGCTCAGCCACGCCCTCTGCCGGGCGACTCTCGGCGCCCGCCGGCCAGCCATCAGGCCCCTAAGTTTGAAAGGGGCTCCTCCCCCGACCAGTCGGGGGGTAATTCCCCCAGGGGCGGGGGTGACATCACCCCCCCTCAGCGTGTGGAGAGGAACTTCACGGCCACTCATCGGTCAGCTGGACCCTTCTCACTCCCGTTAGCTGAGTGGCCGCGACTGGTGTATCACTGTTCCCCTTTTGATGGAGGCGGCCCTGTCTAGCTGCCGCCTTAGCTCCCACCACGGCCGCCTCCACTGAGCCTTAAGCCGTCAACAGTCCACTTGTCAAAATGTTCTGTTGCCGACGGCCTCAGTGAAAGCGTACAACCCGAGTTGCAACTGTTAAGGGTTGTGCTCTATTTATCTCGGGTTCACGCCATGTGGCCTCCCCTTGGTGGTGGGAAGATTAGGGCCCCCCTGGAGCGTTGAATCACGCTGTCAAGGGGTATTAGATTTGGTTTGGTCGAGCACTTAGTTAAAAAATACTTTGAATTAAAATTAAAAAATGCTTTGAGCTTTCCGCGAAATTTTCCTATTTGTAGCGGTTTAAATTAAAAGGATTGAATTTAATCTACTCTTTTAAATGCTACTGCATGTGTTTTGTACATATATTTAATCACTGTATTTGATTGTTGCGTCTGTTTGCTGAAAGGAAAATTTGAATTCATCTGAAATTGAATGGCGCGCTATTTGAAAAATTATGTTTATGATAGTGTTTAATCATTTTTGTTTTCTAAGAAGTAGGGCTGTCCCTTACGTTATTGTTTTGTTTAATTTGCAAGTTGACCTATGCGCATCGGTGATTAATTTGGTTGAATTAATTCTGTAGTTGAACATTGATGCTTTTGAAAAATTAGTTGAAATATGAGCATAGGACTACTTGTCTAACAGGTTAGCCAGTTTTGGAGATTATCAGATTGAAATCAGCTGCCGCACTATTTTAGTAAATGATAATATGGTGGGTGGCCTGGCTAGGCCTACTTGTTGAAAATTCATACTAGGGACTATCTGTGCGTTTCGTTCGGCTCTCCACAGACGACGTTCATGTGGAATTTGTGGGTGCGCTCTGCACTGAAGCAACTGTTGGCACAAAATTTGTCTGGGCAGCTTCGTGTAGCGTCGCTGTTGGCAGAGCTGATCTGGTCGGATTGCGGAACTAATCATAGGGGCACAGATAGGTGTTTGAAAGAGGTCGTCGGACTTCTGTCCAGTACAGGACTTATTAAAGTGCTGCGATGCCCAGGAAG